CCACTTGTATTAGCTCTTCTACTACCTTCATATTAGAACTGAGTACATTGGATTCTTGCTTATCCATTCTTATCCTGCTTTGCTACAAAGAATGTGTTCCAACTCCACCCAGGATAATGCAAAAGATGTAAAGTCTCCATCTTTTTTAATGGTATACATATACTACCGCTTGTTAATCTATTTCTGGGTTGGTGGGCATTTAGACTGTTTCCACATTTTGGCAACTGTTAATTGAGCTGCTATAAACAGTCTAGTGCAAATGTCCTTATGATAAAAGTATTTTTTTTTCTTCTGGGTAGATACCTAGTAATGGGATTGCAGGATCAAATGGATTCTTTGAGGATTCCCCATACTTCCTTCCAAAAAGCTTGTATTAGTTTGCAGTCCCACCAGCAGTGAAAAGATGTTCCCTTCTCTCCATATCCATGCCAGCATCTGCAGTTTTAAGACTTTGTGATGTGGGCCATTCTCACTGGGGTTAGGTGATATCTCAGGGTGGTTTTGATTTGTGTTTCTTTGATGATTAGGGACGATGAGCATTTTTTTATATGTTTTTTAGCATTTGCCTGTCTTCTTCAGAGAAGGTTCTATTCATGTCTTTTGCTCAGTGATATATGGGATTGTTGGGTTTTTTTCTTCATTAAGTTCTCTCTAGATCGTAGTTATCAAGCTTTTGTCTGGTTCATAATATGCAAATGTCCTTCCCCCCCATTCTGGAGGTTATCTGTTTGCTTTGGTTGTTGTCTCCTTAGCTGTACAGAAGCTAAGTTTCATTAAGTCCCATTTGTTTGTTTATTTTTGTTGTTATTGAAATTGTCATGGAAGTCTTCCTCATAAAGTCTTACCCCAGGCCAATATCTTCAAGTGTTTTCCCCATCCTTTCTTCATTGTTTCATGCTGTAGATTTAAACCTTTTATCCATCTTGAATCAATATGTGTCAGTGGTAAAAGGTGCGGGTCCAGTTTCAGTCTTTTCCTTGTGGTTATCCAGTTCTCCCAGCACCATGTACTGAATAGGGATTCTTTTCCCCAGTGTATGTGCTTGTTTGGTTTATCAAAGATCAGGTGGCTGTAAGATGTTAGTTTCATCTCCTGGTTTTCTGTTCTGTTTCAAATGTCAGTGTCTCTATTTGTGTCCCAGTACCATGCTGTTTTGATCACTGTGGCCTTGTAGTATAGCTGAAAGTCTGGAAAAATGATGCCCTTGGCTTTGTGTTTTTCAGGTTCCATACAAAATGAAGAATTATTTTTTCCAAATTTTGAAAGTATGATGTTAGTATTTTAATGGTGATTGCATTGAATGTGTAGATGCTTTGGCAAGTATAGACATTTTAACAATGTTGATTCTTCCTAGCTGTGAGCATGGTGTGTTCTTCCATTTGTTAATATCTTCTGCTATTTCTTTTCTTAGGATTTCGTAATTTTCTTTATAGAGGTCTTTTACCTCTTTTGTTAAGTATCTTTCTAGGTATTTCATTCTTTTTTTTGAAGATATTGTGAAGGGACTTGTGTCCTTGATGAACTTCTCATCTTGGCTATTATTGGCACATACAAAGGCTACTGATTTGCAAATGCAAATCAGGCAAATCTGATTTGTGGACACTGATTTTATTTCCTGAGACAGTACTGTATTTTTTGATCATTTCCTGGGGTCCTTTGGTTGAATCTTTGGGGTTCTCTAAGTATAAGATCATAATATCATTGGAAAAGAGCCAAAGTTTGAGCCCCTCTCCACCTGTTGGATGCCCTTTATTTCCTTCTCTTGCCTGATGGTATTGGCTAGAACTTCCAGCACTATGTTGAATAGTGGTGGTGATAGAGGACAGCCTTGTCTGGTTCCAGTTCTAAGTGGAAAAGCTTTCAGTTTTTACTCCATTCAGTACAATATTAGCTGTGGGTTTATGGTAGATGGCTTCAATCAGATTAAGAAGTGTGCCACCTATGCCTAAATTCTGAAGTGTTCTAATTAGCAAAGGATGCTGAATTTTATTGAATGCTATTTTTGCATCTATTGAGAGGATCTTTGTTTTTGCTTCTGTTGATTCGGAGAATTATGTTTATGGACTTGTGTATGTTAAACTAGGCTTCCATCTCTGGGATAAAAACTACTTGATCGTGATGAATGATTTTTTTAATGTGTAGCTGTAATCTATTGGTTAGGATTTTTTTTTTGAGAATTTTTGCATCTATATTTATTAATGAAATTGGTATGTAGTTCTCCATTTTAGTTTGGTCTTTTTCTGGTATTAATATCAGGGTGATGTTTGCTTTATAGAACGTGTTGGGAAAGATTTGTTCCTTGTCAGTTTTTTAGAATAATTTCTAAAAATTATTATGAATATAATATAAAATTATTATAATATAATATGAATATAAACTCTTCTTTGAAGGTTTGATAGAATTCTGGTGTGAAGCCATCTGGGCCAGGGCATTTTTTTGTTGGGATATTTTTTATTGTTTTTATGATGTCAGTGCTTGAAATTGGTCTGTGTAAGAGATCTATTTCTTCTTGGCTAAGTCTAAGGAGACGTTTTGATTATAGGTATTGATCTATTTTCCTCCTCATTGTCAAATTTCTGGGCATAAAGCTTCTTATAATGATAATTTCCTGTATCTCTGTGGCATCTGTTGTTATTTCCCCTTTATTGTTTCTGATTGAAGTTATCAGAGATTTCACTTTTCTGTTTCTAATTAATCTGGACAAAGGTTTATTGATTTTATTTATTTTTTCAAAAAACAAACTTTTTGTTTTGTTAATTTTCTAATTCTTTTGTTTTCAATTTTATTAATCTCTGATTTAATTTCGATTATTTCTTTTCTTCTGCTGGGTTTGGGGTAAGATTATTCCTGTTCTTGTTTTTCCAGTTCCATAAGATGGTTCATGAATTTGTTCATGCACGTTCTTTCTGTTTTTCAAATGTAGCCATCTAATGCAATAAATTTCCTTCTCAAAATTGCTTTTGCTGTATCCCACAGGTTTTGGTAACTTGTGTCTTCATTGTTGTTATGTTTGAGGAATTTAACAATTTCTTCTTTCATTTCTTCCTAAACCCAACTCCTTCAGCATAAGGTTGTTTAGTTTCCATGCCTTTGTGTGGGGATGGATGTTTTTGTTGTAGTTGAGTTCCACCTTTCTTGCCATATGGTCTGAGTAGATACAAGGATAATTTCTATTCTTTTAATTGTGCTGAGGTTTGATTTGTATCCTAGAATGTGATCTATTTTGGAGTACGTTCCATGGGCTGATGAGAAAAATGTATATTCTTTAGCTTTGGGATGGTGTGTTCAGTTTGTGTCTATTAATCCCATTTGTTTGAGGGTCACATTTAAGTCCTTTGTATTTTTGTTTAGTTTCTGCTTAGAGGATCTGTTCAGTTCTGTCAGAGGAGTGTTAAAGACCCTGGCTATTATGGAGTTGTGGGATATGTTATTGCTCAGACCCATCAAGGTCTGTTCTTCAATCTGGGAGCATTTAAGCTGGGTGCATAAATATTGAAAATTGAAGTGTCTTGTTGTATTGTTCCCTTGGCCAGTATGAATTGTGCATCTTTTGTCTTTCTTAACTTTAGTTGCTTTAAATCTGCATGTGTCTGGAAATAAGATTATAACCCCTCCCTTCTTCTGATTCCATTTGCTTGAAATACCGTTTTCCATCCCTTAACCCTGAGTCTTGATTTGTTCTTCAAGGCTAGGTGTGTCTCCTGGAGACAGCATATGGGTGGCTTCTGCTTTTTTTTTTATCCCATCAGCCAGCCTGTGCCTCTTTAGTGGGGAATTCAGTCCACTGTCATTTACTGAGAGAATTGATAAGTGTGGTAGATTCTATTCATCTCATTTTGTCCAAGCCTGTTGTGTAGTTTTGTGGTTTGCACCGTTGTAGAAGCTAAGTTTGGACCTTTAGCTTCTGGGTGTTCACTTTGCTGGTGGTCCATGGGGTGTTTTCTTAATAGAAGGAAGAGGAGGCCTTGTGATGTTTCCCTCCCTGGTGGTGCTGGTGACACAGGCATGCACTGGGTCCTGTCTCTGTCTGCTGTAGGCACTGGAGGTTTGCACACATGGGTAGATACTGCAGAGCCTCCACCTCCCCAGGAAGATTATAGTACTTAGGTAGAAACACACATGGAAACATGTAAATTCCCTGTGAGGTGTTACAGGCTACAGTGAAGGTTGGGTCGGTGTGGTGGCCATGGGTAGGGATCTCAGGGCAGGGCCCACGCCAGGCAGGGAACCAGCAGGGAGGACCATGGCCGAGGAAGTGTCACAGAGCATCACAGGCCCTGGCTCACTTTCCTGTCATTACTGCTGCATCCTTCGGTGTGAGGACACTGGCACTGAGATACCCCAGTGTAGAAACTTCCTGTTCACCACCTGTGCACGTGGAAGGTGCACACAGTTGGCACTGGGCACATGAGGCAGGTGCCTGAGACTCAGAGAGGAAAAGTGGCATCTTTCAGGGCTGCAGCCCTGTGGAATGGGGTCAGGAAAAGAGAGAGAGTAGTGGGAAGGCCCCAGAGATTTGGGTGTGGGACAGGAACCAGGACTCTAGCCTCTCCCTGGGCTCCGGGGAGCGGGCAGAGAGCAGTGGGAGCAGTGAGCAGTGCTGGGCCCAGCTCCTGGACCCTGTCCCAGGTGTGACGCCAGTCCTAGAGTTCATGCTCACCTATATGCCTGGCCTCTGCTTCCTGCCACTCCCCACTGCGGGTGGTGACTGCCCTATGGCCTGGCTCCGCTTAGCTGTGGGTCTGCTGAACAGGTGTGGAGGCCTTCCAGGAGGCTGCTTGGGCTTCAGTGTCCCTGGTGCCCAGTGCATAATCAATGTACGATGTCCCCAGAGGTGTGGGGAGGTTGGGGTGCCTCGCTGAGCCCCACCGGCTTGTCGGCGATGACACCAGTCCTCTCCCAGAACCCCAGGCAGAGTGAGTCTGTGCTCACCCTGGATATCCGTCCTCAGGCAGGAGCCAAAGGCACTTGTGGGGCGTCTAACCCACTCTCCTCTGCAGGTATGTTCAGTTCCTCAGCGGGCTCCTGTCTGGATCGGTGAAGATGAATGCCTCGCCCCTGTTCCTGCATTTTGTCATCCTCCATGGCACCCCAAACTTTGACACCGGTGGAGGTGAGTACCCCCCATGATATGGCATCTGGTTTGTTGGCCTGGACTGGAGGCTGGCCTTGGACCCCTTAGTGTAAACAAACTTCTTTCCTTCTTTGAGGGCCCCGGGTCTGCTGTTCAGCCTCCCTGGTCATTGACTGTGGCCCCCTCTTGTCGACAGTGTCATCTTTATGGGGTTAGGCCAAGTTAGTTAATCAGGAGGACTGGAGGCCAGTAAGAGGGGATGGTAACTCGGGCAGACACAAGTCATTCTGGGCTGTAGCCCTGGGAGTCGGCTGTGCAGTTGGCTTTGAGGTCCCAAGTCATGAGAGATGTGCCTCTCCCAACTCATCTTAGGTGCCCATCTCCTCATTTCCCTTTAACACAACGACAAAGAAAGACACATTCAGGAAGCTAAAGCCAGGGTCTTCTCCCTCCACCCCAGGCCCACACAGTGCACACAGCTCATAGCTGGGGTCAGGGCACTGTCTCCTCTCCCAGTCTGTTGCAAGTGCACATAGCTCGTAGCTGGGGTCACAGCCTTGTGTCCTCCCCCAAGTCCCATGCAGGTACACACAGCTAGTAGCTAGGGTCAGGGCTCTGTGTCCCCCGCCTGAGTCTCAAGCAGGTATACACAGCTAATAGCTGAGGTCAGGGCCCTGTGTCCTCCCCCTACATCCCACACCGGTGCACATGGCTCATAACTGAGATCAGGGGGTTGTCCCCTCTCCCCAGTCCCATGCAGGTACACACAGCTAGTAGCTATGGTCAGGACGAGGTCAGGGCTCTGTCCCCTCCTCCCAGTCCCACACAGGCTCTCACAGCGCAGTTTGTCTTTAAAGTACATCTGTGCCTTTAGGTCCCCCTGGGCATCATGGCCAGAATGTGACTCTGCTGAATGAAGTTGATTATGAGGCATCCGGGCTGAGCAGTTCAGGGCTCTGGATAAAGGTCACACCATTGCTCTGCAGGTTCCTGGAAGTGGGTTTGGCTCCGGGGGCAGGCTTGCCTTTTCCTGCAGCAACCCTGCACTCTGGGCAGGCTTCCCCCAACCTCAGAGGCAGCACACACGCTCTCTTGGCCTCTCGGCTCCTCTCTCTCTCTCTGTTCTTCACAGACGATTGTGCGTCTCTTTCAGTGTGCCGGCCCTTTCTGAAGCTCTACCAAGCTATGCAGCCTGTGTACACGTCGGGGATCTAGTAAGTGCTGCTCTTCTGTGGGACTTCTGCTCCGCCCAGAGCCTCAGTTGCCTGTCCCTCAGGAAGAGGGGGAGGGAGGGGGACAGAACATGCCAAGGAGCCATAGAGAGTCCAGAGGGGATAGCATGGGGTGCCTATGTGCTGGCATTGCACCTGACCCCTGCTCCTGCCTACACAGGTGTCCTGTTCCTGCCACGCCAGTTAGCTCCATTAAGAGGCGTGAATGCTGGAGCGTGGAGGGAGAGAGGGCCATTCCCGGGACCCTTATGACACACAAGCCTGTAGACGCTCAAGTCCCTTATTTAAATGGCATAGTGTTCACATACAACCTATGCTCATCCTCCCGTGTATGTTAAATCACCTCTAATTGCTTATAATAGATAATGCAATACAGATGCTATGTAAACAATCGTCATGTTGTATTTTTTTATTTGAATTATTTTTTGTTATATTGTCATTTTTTATTTTCATTGACATTTTTTATCCAGGTTGGTTGAATCCACTATGTGGAACCCACAGATAAGCAGGGTACCTATAAATATGTTGAAAAGAGTCCTGGGATGGAGTCTTCTTATGGTTTTTCTGGCTTCTTTGAATTTTAGATGAAGTGTGGCCACACATCCTCAGAATTTCTAGAATTTCTGAGATTTTTTTGTTTGCTTTCTTGAGCCAGGATAAGGATTTTATGAATGTTAATGGAACTGAGTAAGGGTAATGAATGTTCTCACCATCTAGAAAAAGCCATTGTCCCTTTTTGGGTTCAAGTTGGACCCTGAACTTACTGACGTCACTCTGGAAGTTGCACCCCAGCTTGTTACAGACCCTGTGTGTCTCCCCAGGAGACACAAGGGCCTCTCTAGGCCCCTCCCTTTGAACCTACAGGGTCCCTGCCATGTTGGGCCCTGGGGTTGGTCCTTAGTCACTGCAGGTCGCTTACTGACCAGACTGATGCCATGAGGACCCTCCCAGCCTGCAGCTTTACTGAACCTTTTAGATTCACTTCCCAGGAAGTGGATTTTGGGCTAATCAGGACATTTTCTGTAATATCTGAAGTTTTAATTGTAGTATTGCATTTCTCAACCTGTGTTCTCCTGTGAAATCACAAAGTTACTTAGTGACAGACCTTTTTGTTTATCCCAAAGCAATGTTGGTCCCGAGAACCCCAGCAGGATCTGCATTGCCATAGAGCCGGCCCAGCTGCTGAAGGGGGACGTCATGGTGAGTGCCCATGCAGCTGTGCCATTCCCCCCGCCCCCACCCCACAGACATTAACTGAAAAGGGAAAAATGATTCTATTTTAAAATAATAACCACCCTTCCCCATAAAGTCCTGTAGAAAAAAATCAGAAGTAGTCTTGACCAATTACCGTAAGGCAGACATCCTCAAACTACGGCCCACGGGCCACATGCGGCCTGCCTAGGACATTTATCTGGCCCACCTGGTGTTTTTGCCGCTGCTGCCTGTCCTGCTTAGCAGCTGACTCGGCCCAGGGCCCACAGTCCCGCCCTCCAGCGGTCTGAGGGACAGCGAATTAGCCCCCTGTTTAAAAAGTTTTAGGACCCCTGCCTTAAGGTATTTGGTTACTATTCTGAGTGAAGCTGTTTTAATGAAAGGCATAGAACAAATCTTTGTCCTCTCTCTCTCTCTCTCTCTCTCATCACGGAGCCCCTTGATGTATGTGAGCGGGTCGTTAAAGCAGGTACTTGTAAATATATTGAAAAGAGTCCAGGGACAGGTCTCTTTTTTATTGTTGTTGTAGTTTTTGTCCGGGGTCGTGTTTGAACCCCCCCACCTCTTGTACATAGGGCTGATGCCCTACTCCTTGGGCCACAGGTGCCGCCCCTAGGATGAGTCTCTTTATGGTTTTTCTTTCCACCACACTTCTGAGGGTCCCCATTTTCTGACTGGTATTTGCTTTCTTAATATCATCATAGGCCTCCTAGGGTGCCGGTGTAGAAATAAAATATTTATTTACTATTAATAGCCAAATTATGAAATATAACTGGTGTTGTTACAGCTTAATTAATGATCAAAACTGTGATTTCTCTAGATAATTTTGATTCTTGGGTATGTGGGTTTCCTGGGGGAAATTGGCTGTTATGTTTTTGCCTTTTGGCGATCTTGAGTACAGAAAAATTTTTACATTTAAAGTAATTTTAGGAAAAGTTTTGTCCAAGGGAAGGAAAGCTTTTAGGCATATACATAGCTTCCCACCTGCGTGGAATCACTTAGCGTGCAGTCGTCATAGTTGCTTTGGTAAGAAGGTAAGGTGATTCTGATTCAAGAGTTGGCTTTTAATTTTGTTACAAATGGCCCATCCACAGTGTTTCTCTTGAAAACCAGGGTTTATAACCCTTTGTTAGTGGATGGGCACCTCTGCGCCTACCTTGTCCATCTTAGATGTGTATAAAAATCAAATTGGGAGACGTGAAGATGGGGACCTGTGGAGATAGCCACACCTGCTGAGTCCCTCTCAGTCCTAGGACCCCAGAGTCTGTCCTGCAACACAGCTCTAAGGTGGGATTCTGCAGGTCAAGGAGGCAGCCCGGGGCAGCGACTCTTTGCAGAGGACACAGGTGCACAATCTGGGGTTGGGGAGCTTCGGATGTTGCTGCAGGCCCCGCCTCTCAGCATCTAGTCTGCTGTCCCCAGGCAAAGCGCGCTGGGGCTGGAGGTCTGTCCTCTGCGTCCTGTGCATCTGGGCCCTGCTTCCTGCCTGGGTTAGGAGCAGGAGGTGAGGAGGGTGAGAGGGTTCTTCTCCTGGACTCCTCACTTCTTTCCATCCAGAGTGCAGCCCTGGAGGGTCTCCTGGGACCTCCTGGGGTTATTCGACAAAGAGGCTGAGCTTTAGTTGAGCACCACTGTCTGCCGTGCTTCACTGCACCAGCAGCTCCAGAACTGGGGGCACGCGGGGCTGGTGTGATGCTGGTGGCCCATGGTTTCCACCTGCCATGGGAGCAGGGCTCTGGGGTCAGCCTCTCTTGAGTGGATGCTCCCTGTCTTCAGGTCTTCAGTGAGGGTTTGTTAGGGCCCTGTCCCTTCGCGATGATCTGCGGGAAGTGGCCAGTAGACTGAGAGGTGCAGGGTTCTCTCAGACAGGGAGGGGGGCCTGGTTCCTTGGCTGTGTGTGAGGGCTGATGCTGCAGGGCTTTGTGAGGCCAGAGGCGTGAGGGTGGTCCAGAGGCCAGGAGTCCTTGAGAAGTGGCCAGTTGCCCCTCCCCTCCCTCTGCCTCCCACCCTCCTTCACTCCCCTCTCTCTTCTTCTCGCCTTTGCTCCCTCTCGCCCCCTCTCCCC